CATGATGGTGGATGGAGGTTGATGACCACAATGTTAAGTTGGCAGCTAAACATAAGTTCAAATTGATGTCTTCAGTACTAATTACTACATGGATCATTTTAGCCTTCTTCCCTTTCTTGTGTGTAACTTCCCATAGAAACAGTGAGAATCTCGCCTCCTACCTTCTGCCATTCATTTATTTCATTGCTGAATTCCAGTATGCTTGTATAGTGGTTCTGGGATGATTAACTCATATCTCCATGGGAGATGCATATGAACTTGTTTTGGCACCATTGTTGAGAAATCTTTTTACCGTTGAATTACCTTAGCCCCTTTGTCAAAAATTATTTGACTCTATTTGTACAGCTCATTTCTAGGCTCTTTTTCTGTTCTGTTAATTTATGTGTTTGTTCTTTCACCAATCCACACTGCCTTGATTACTGTTGCTGTGCAGTTAAGTTTTGAAATCCTCCAAGTTGAGTCCTCCAGCTTTGTTCTTCCTTTTCAGAATTGTTTTGGCTCTTCTAGTTTCTTTACTCATGTCAATTTAGAATAAACCTCTTGATAACCTACAAAAAGCTTGCTGAGATTTTGATTGGGAGTGTGTTGAATGTATACATCAGTTAGGGAGAATTACGTCTTAATATTGAGTCCTCCAATATACGAACATGATACATCTCTCAGTTCATTTAGATTATTTTTATTTCTTCTATGAGTGTTTTATAGGTGGTTTTTTGCCTGGAGATCTTGCACATATTTTGTTAGATTTTTACCTAATTTTTTTTGGCATTATCTTTTATATTTCAGATTCACATTTTTCATTGCTAGTATAAAGGAATACAGTTGGCTTTTGTATGTCAATCTTGTGTCCTGTGACTCCCAAATAGCTGGAACTACAAGTATGTGCCAACTAATTTTTTCATTCTTTTAATTTTTGTAGAGATGGGGTTTCGCTATGTTGTCCAGGTTAGTCTCGAACTCTTAGTCTCAAGTGATCTTCCCACCTTGACCTCCCAAAGTGATGGGATTCCAGATGTGAGCCACTCCACCCATCCTGAATACTCTGATTTTTTGAACCTTCCAAGGCACTACCAAAGGGTTTCCCAGCCACATCATCCTTCAAAGACCCCTTGCTATTTAAGGTAACACATTTACAGATTTAGGGAATTAGGATATGAACATCTTTGTGGAGATAGGGCATTATTGTGCCTATCATAGCATTGTTTTTTTTGTCTAAGAATATTTGCTTTTAAAATAAATTTTAGATATAGCTCTAATACTATGTGTGTGTGTGCACATGCTTATACACATATATACATACAATGACCATATATATTTTTTAATCAAATCATAGCAATAACTGTTATTCAATAGGGCAAGAAATGTATTTTGGTTATATATTGGGCTTTTAGCCAATTACTTTTATTTTTAACACAATGGAAATGACTTTCCCTCTGCCCATCTGTACTTGTAATCCAAATCAAAGGATATATTTCTCATTTCCTATGGTATTTTTGCATGAATTTGCATTATCTGATTTTAAAATCTTTTTTTTTTTTTTGAGACAGAGTCTCACATTGTTGCCCAGGCTAGAGTGAGTGCCATGGCGTCAGCCTCGCTCACAGCAACCTCAAACTCCTGGGCTCAAGCAATCCTCCTGCCTCAGCCTCCCGAGTAGCTGGGACTACAGGCATGCGCCACCATGCCCGGCCAATTTTTTGTATATATATTTTTAGTTGGTCAATTAATTTCTTTCTATTTTTGGTAGAGACGAGGTCTCGCTCAGGCTGGTTTCGAACTCCTGACCTTGAGCAATCCACCCGCCTCGGCCTCCCAAAGTGCTAGGATTACAGGCGTGAGCCACCGCGCGCGGCCTTAAAATCTTTTTATAATTTTAACAAGCATGTGATTTATTTAACTGTATATTAGGACCTATATATTAGGTTCTTGAATTTAAAATCTCATTTTAACACATCTCATTTTAACTTTCTTTTTGCTTTGTCTGATACTGTCCTCAATAGAATAATTTCTCATTAATGGACTTGCATTTTAATTTTTAAAAATTCTTTTTGCTTTGTTGAAATGTAATTGATACACAGAAATTTACACACATTTAATATATGGACATAGGCATACACCGATGATACCCTCACCACAATCAAGACAGTAAACAATAACGTCTGACATTTTTCTTGTGTTCTTTCATGGGCTTTTTGTTGTTATTCTGTGGTTAGAACACTTTTAACATAAGATCTATTCTCTTAACATATTTTAAAGTACACAGTGCCATGTTATTAACTGTAGGTACTATGTTGTACCTAGAACTTACTCATCTAGAACTTGTTCATCTTGTATAACAGAAACTTTATACCCATTGCGCAACAGTTCTCTATTTTCCCCTTCCCCAGCCTCTGACAACCACCATTCTGTTCTCTGTTTATATGAGTTTAGATCTTAGATGCCTTATATAGTGGAATAATGAAGTATTTGTCCTTTTGTGACTGGCTTGTTTCACTTAGCATAATATCCTCCAGGTTTATCCATGTTGTGGCAAATGGCAATATTTTCTTCTTTTTTTAAGGTTAAGAAGTATTTTATCATAGATATATACATTTTCTTTATCCATTCATCTGTTGATAGACTTTTGGATTGTTTCCATATCTTGGCTATTGTGAATAGTTTTATACTTTATCTAATATCTATTTTAATTTACCTAATTTATCTAATGTTATTTTAAAAATATTATAAAAATACTGCCAAATATTCTAAAGCTTCCCACTGGTCTTTTCAAATCAGTCTTATTTTGTAAACATGTGGCAGGTTTTTTCTTTTTGTTTTTCTTTCGTATTTTTGTTCTTCAGCACTGGTTGCCATTCTAAGAAATTTGTGGATTTTTTTCTTTTGACTTTTCTTCATTGTTTTACCAACCAGAGAATACATTTTAGTATTTAATACCTTTTTATTGTTAACGTAAATAACAAAAAGAGGCTCTCTAAAAGAAAACAATTTATTCAGGTGTCTTAGTTTGTTTCCTATTACTTAGACTACCTGAGACTTGGTGCTTTAATTTTTTGAAAAAGGAGTTTGTTTGCTATGGCTATGAAGAGTGAGAAGTACAAGGTTAAGAGGCCACATCTGGTGAGCGCCTTTTTTGCTGGTGGAGTCTCTCTGCAGTGTCCCAGGATGGTGCAGGGTATCACTTGACAAAATGACAGAGTGTACTTGCTTAGGTCTCTCTTCCTCTTCTTATAGAGCCACCAGTCCCATTCCCATGATAACTCATTATTCCATGAGTGTTTTAATCCATTAATGAGGGCAGAGCCCTCATGACCTAGTCATCTGTTAAAGGGCTCACTTCTCAAGACTGCCACGTTGGGGATTAAGTTTCGATATGAGTTTCAGAAGGATTAACTAACATTCAAAGCATAGCAGTAGGCATTGCAATGAAGATGCACATGCCGTAGTAAACTTTGTATATTCAGGGAAGTAAGGAAAGACAGTGGTTTTTAAAGGAAAAATGAGGAGGATTACATAACTGTTTTGAAGTAACTATTCTTGTCTATAAGGATCAATAACAAAGGTGATTCCAGTCCCAAGTTGGATAGGCAGTTACTGGGCAGATGTCCTTGCAGAACTATTTTTTTGTGTGGACTTGTGATGTAGAATCTTTCATGATAGTTCTTATCAGGCATTTATGTAGGAGAACCCTTCTCTTCATAGGCTGTATTTGTAAGGATTTTGTTTTGTTTTTTAACAAATGTGACTTCATTTTGATTCTGACAACTTTCCCATTTCCCCCTTTTGATAAAGATCTTTCTCCTAAAGCATCACTGAGCAATCATCCTGTAGCTAGGTTTTGATTATGCCTTCATGCCAGTATGGACCTGGTAAGATTGCTGGTCTGATCTTACATTGGAGGAAGTAAATGGCAGATAGGAGTCAGTGTCAAAGTCCTTGTAGCCACTTTTGAACAACAAGGGAGGTTTGAAGGAATGGCTCTCAGGCTAAGTCTACCTGGAGTCCATTATTAAGTTCAATTTTGCCATCATCTCAAAGTGCCAGGCCAGCTTTAATTCTGTTAGGAGTTGTACTTCTGCAAAAATTTAACAAGTAATGATTCAAAATTTAAAAAGAGAAAATACAAAGTAAAACTAATAGTAATATGGCAGTCCCAGTTTGCCATCTGCCTAGGTTTAAGGCAACCAACTGAATACATCAAATGACCATAGGGAATTAGGTGAGACTTGTTGTAATGATGTGACCTATTTTCTTATTTTATGTATGTAAGTCTCAACCTTCTTAAAGGAATTTATTCAGATCCAGTATACAGTATTTGCAATAGCACAGGCATTTCTTACTTAAATAATAATTATCTTATTTAAATAATAGATACTAAAGGATCTCTTAGGTCTCCCTCTGTCAATTACCAGCAAAAGCTACTGATGATGAAATTTGAATTACATCATTGTCCTGCCAAGTTAAAAAGGTGGATATTAAGAGGGGTAGGAGTCTTATGATATGGAGTCTTGTTCTGATGTCTTGAGAAAAGCTTTCTACAGCATAAAGACATCAATTTCTCATGCTAGTTTTCAGTTTGAATGTCTGGTTAGGTATTGGGTGATTTGGTGGAATTTCTGTGTGGCTGATACAGCTGGCATGAGACTTGTTTCTTAAAATTTCACCTAGTTTCAGTTTATAAGGCTATAAGCACACAGCAGTTTCTGTTTTTAGTAATTCCATGAGAGAAAATTGGACTGGAGGAATCTAGAATTCAGGATCTAGTCTAGTCTATAGGTAGATACCAAGAACTTGAAAATAATGCATAGATCTACAATTTAATAATAAGTGTATTATAGCTTTTCTGTATAAACGTAACTTATTCTCTCTACATTGATCACGTAGGAATCTCAGATTTAAAAATCTCTTGAGGCTAGGAAGGCAAATGAAGGCAAACTTTAGATTTTACTTATAGGCTTAATGTTCCTGGGCCTGCAAGGAAGTGATAATTTTTATTCACTCACTGTAAGGCTGGGAACCCTTGAGGCCAGGCATTCTGTGCAGGTTTTCAAATATGATATTTCAGTCAAAGCCTTGGTAATATAACCAGTGTTTCCAATTGTATCCTGTTATAAAGAGAGAGCAGATTTTTATTGGACTTGGACAAATAACCATAATGCCATAGAATACTCATGAATAGTTTCAGAATTTTGGAGGAATCAAGAAGGGAGGAAAAAAAAATGCTTTGTTCAGAGAAGTATACTTTCCCAAATTGCCATAAACAATAGACAGCTTGAGGGAGAAAAATTTCCTTAAATTTGGGAAATAGAATAAGTAAAGAACTAATAGTGTTATAAATAAAAGTCATAAAAACATATTCATTAGTTATTCAGTCTCATGTAATTAATTTTTGTTCTGCTTGATCTTGATTAGTTTTATGAACCCATCAGTTTCTTTAATAGAGTTCTGGGAATTTTTATTTAGTCCATTGATCTTAAAGTTTTTAAGATCTTAAACTGTATTTGAGTATTTGTTAGAGTCTTTTCCATGAATCTGATTGTAAATGCTTTTAGAGAAAAAACAATAACTGTGGATACCCAAAACTTAGAATAGCCATGGTTAAAAATCTGATGAAAGTTCCTAATTGACAAGGAAATTTAGTTATTTCTTTTACATATTTATCACATATAGCATTTTATGATAACCAGAATCATACCTAACATTAAGACCATCAGAGTTTTATAAATTTTATATAATTTTTAAAACGCATCAATAACATCCATACAAAAATAACTTTAAAAAAGATTTAACATAACAGTGAAAAGTATGACTGATAACAGATTTCTAAGAGTTTTATACAATTTTAGAACATTTATATCAATTATATACCCATAAATATAACTGAAAGAAGATCTAGTGTCATTTGTCATTTGACAATGCTTCTTATACAATTTACCAAATAAGTCTATAATTTAATATATCTACAAAATGAGAGGTACATTCCCTGAGGCTCACCAGGGCCCAACTGGAAAAGCCTAAAATTAATTCTAGGTTAGAAAGACTTAATTTAAAATTTTGATCCTGGGGAAGCTTGCCAAAGATGTCAAAAGGTTCGAAACACTTGAATAAAACAGGATCACAAGTCACTGTGAAATAATAGTCATTTATTTAACCAGAGTGATACTCAGAAGACTTGAAAAGCAATACAGAAAGTTACATGGATGTAAAAACTGTAATGCTTTCAAAGCTCGGTTATATTAAGTAATCAAGAAACTAATGAAGATAACACAAAATTATCCTAATAAAATGTAGATTCTTTGGGGTTTTTTTTAGGCCAATTACCAAAAAGGTAAAGAAAAACCTGCAGTATGATTGCTTTTTCTTATGAAAAGCCTGCTTCTTGAAAGTCCAACCTGATTTAAAAGAGGGTACTTGAATTTTATCAGACACAGGAAGAGTAGGTCCAAGGTTATAAGTATATTAAGAGGAATGTAAAAAAGAAAACTATTCCATCTCGGACAGACAGACAGACAGACACACACACACACACACACACACACACACAAAGAAAACTAGTACCTCAAGCAACATGACACTTAGGGGAAAAAAGCAAAAAGCATGTGAGGTTTCTTAGTTATGTGAAACAATTCAGACATCAAGAAAAGCCAAGAATGCAGAATCAAGTTGTACTGGAGGAAAACATTGCGTTTTTAGACCTTCAAGATAGACATTTCAGCATCAGGCCATAACAGTAGAGTTAGACTTATAGAAAAAGTTACAGGAGCTGATGAAAAAGTTGAGAGAGAGCTGTCATCACAGGTCTTCCTAAGGGGAGAAAAAGATGAAGGCAATGATGATGCATGACTGGCTAATCATGTGCTGTGAGATACAAATCCAACTTTTAAAAGATGAATCTGAGAAGCTTTAAGAGAAAAAGTCTACCCCAAGAAATGAAATTACCATTCTAAATGAAGAGGACAGTATTTCTAACCCAAAACTAGAGAAGTTAAATGGATTTCAGGAAGAATGTGGCAGAAATAGCAGATGGTGGTTAATAGATTTTGGAAATAAAAATCAAAACCTCTTGCAGTTTTACAAAGACATGATACATACTTCAAGAAAACCTTGTTGTTTTGACATAAATTTTTAGTTTCGTATTAGCATATTTTTAATATCAAAGCTCAATCTTTATAATAGAAATAATCCCCTTCTAATTATAGCCAACTTGGTCACATGCAAAATTTTTTTCTTAAGTTTACTATTCATGAACCTTTCTGTACCTGCTCATAGCTTTTACAACATGCTTAGACTTTCTGCTTTGTCTTATCCTTATTTTTTAAATAACTAGTCATTTTATTTGGGGTTAAAAATTTATGCAAAATTCTTTCTCATACAAATTATTTTCTTTTTAAAACCTTCCTTACCAAAAATACATATTTATACCCATAACTTTTTTAAAAAATATATCTTCATGGTAGTACCAATAACTTTTGTTTATATCTCTCTCTCCTACTTACTAGTTTTGTTCTATCCTGTTTCTATTACTTTCCTGAATCATAACTTAAAGATATCAAATTGCATGAAAAAATCATTTATAAATAATGATCACATTTATATTTACCTAATTTATATATTTTTAACATTTATACATAGATTACATGTGAAAACTGAGATATTAGACAAAGGTAGTAGTCACTTTATTTCCCTTTGAATCATCTTTATAGCATGTGAATATCAGATGTATGTATCAGGGTATTTTGTCAATAACTCAGAAGATATGTTTTTAGTAAACCAACAATATTAAATTAGTCTTATCAAAGAATTACACAAAGATTATTCTGTTTTAGGCTTGGGTTTATAGTTTTACAACCTGTGTATCAAACCCTGACACCTTAAATCATCTAGTAGAACAGATATGAAATTGACCAGTAAGCCCAGGCAAATATATGACAATTCTGAAGACATTTCTGTTTTATTTCACCAAAAAATATAAAGGTAGCCTGTTTATTAAAGATTTACTCAAATCACATGAACTAGGAGGCACTTGGGTTAATTACTGAGCACTCATTTATCTAAGCCAATCTGAATAGAATTTTTCAAGGGATTTATGCCCAACTGTGCCAAATTTTACCATGTAGACACAACATTCAACGTGATAGATGTACAAATGTGTAAATACATCTCAGCATATATATATACAGAAAGAAACAAAGATCTTATAACTTTCATTTTGGAATTTTAGTCACAATAAGACATACAAACTCCCAAGTTTATAAAAAACAGATCCAAACTATATTTCTAACAAAATTGAGACCTCATGTGGCTAAAGTTTTATTTGTCCCTGAAGATAATCTAATGAAGGCTGTGGACTAAAATTTTGGGTAAAGCAGTCTAAAGTAGTTTGGTTTTAAAAGAATTTTTTTAATTTCAAATGAATTTAGATTTAAATTCTTTTTCCATGGATAATTTGTCATCTGAAAAATAAGATATATTTTTAAGAGACGTGGTCTTGTCTTGCTCTGTCACCTAGGCTGGAGTGCACTGATGTAATCACAACTCACTCCAGCCTCAAACTCCTGGGCTCAATTGATCCTCTTCCCTCAGCCTTTTGACTAGGTAGGACCACACACAGCTAATTTTTCTTATTTTTTATTTTTATTTTTTACAGACAGGGTCTCTCAATGTTGCCTAGGGTAGTCTTGAACCCACCTCAGCCTCTTGAGTTGCTGGGATTAAAGCATGAGCTACCATGCCTGGCTGGTTTAAATTTTCAATGTTTATGTTTTAGCTAACGCAGGCTGAATTTTATAAGAAAAACAAAATCTCTTAGTTTCTTTGAATCTATGTTTTATTTGCTGGTCTGGTTTGCTTTATTAGTCAGTGTGTGCAGGGAAGCATTTTAACAGGGTTTTTCTTTCTATTTTTGATTTGGGCTTTTTTCTTTTTGGCTCTGTGTGGCAGACAAAACAATTTTTATACCAGACAGAAATACCTTATAATATTGCTCAGAGCTCAAGATTCTGATCTGTTTGTTTTGAGAGCCTGACTTTTATAAGCATTTATCTAGTCTTTCCTTATAGACTATCAATTGTTCAATTAACTATTAATATTTCATCACTCTAAGCAATTGTTAAGTCAGGCAAAGCCAAATTTACATTATAAGTAAGGAATGACTCTTAGGTCTATGTTGTTGGTTACCATGGAGCTGTTGTAAGTTGTAGAGCCATTCATTTGAAAGCCCATTTAAGACTTCGTTTTTTTTAAATCATGGCTGGAATGCCATAGTAGTGAGTTTGGTCTCAACACCAGTAGAAAAGTCAGCATATTCAAAGTAGGCAGAGAAAACATACAGACAGAGAACTTAGAAGGCTCTACATACTCTCAGGTTAAAAGATGTTTTTTAGCAAGTTTGAATAATGATCAATTGAGCTGTGAATTTTTCTTTATGTAAGTTGCTCATCAGTTTAAAAATGTGCACAAGAAGGGACCATAGCCAGCTTGAGTCCCAGAAAACTTGGCATGCCTTAATGTTTGAGAATCACATTCTGTTTCTTATTAATCTCTTAAGAGCAAAGAAGATCCTATAAATCCTATCAGAGTGTCAGGAGTTTGGACCATAGTTTTAGATGGTGGTAACTATCCAAGTGGCTTTTAAATAGCCATACTGTGACCATCATTTGGAATGTTTATTTTGCTCTCAGAGGACTTTCAGAAACAAGCAAAGGCAAAGAGTCAAAATCATTTACAGACCTGACTAACCAAATTATAGAAAACGAAGATAAGAGTGTTCACAAAAAGTTTAAAGGCATGCAGATTAAACAAATATTAGACTAGCCATGCAGACCAAAATTGAATTCACCAGAAAAGACACGCCTCACAGATGGAATTTAAATTCTGTAGAAATCACTGTACTCAAATGAGAAAGACACTTGTCCTTATACCAGAAAAGATTTGGTAGAAAAATAAAAAATGTTTTATCATCCCAGGAGGGATATAAGGTCCTTTATTAAGACACTGTTATCAATATCAGATCCTGAATAAAGTCAACAGCTTCTACCAGAGAGAAGGAGGCTTGGCCTGAGGGAAGACTCATCAGGGCAGAAAAAGCAAGTTGTGAAAGTAGAGA